TCTATTAGTTGGTATATTATTATTATTATTATTATTATTATTACACAAAACATACTTGTTAAACCAATTGTTAAACCAATATTAGATTTTTTAAAAATGTACAAACCCAGCTTTTGGGTAATAAAGTCATTTGAATTTAATTAACTATTATTAATACTCAGCAAACACAAGACATCAACATGACATCAGATAGACGTTGTACCCCAATGTCATGGGACGTAGCATTTTTATGGGAAATGAAAACCAGGTTGACGTCAGAACCTGAGGCCAAGCTGACATAACAGGTGACAATGTCCAATGACACACGCTGCATTTTGGTTACTCTCCAATGCAACCTAAAAATCAACCAAATATCAACGTCTAATGAGGTTACAGCTTGACGTTGTGTGGACGTTTCCACTATGACGTCTATTAGACGTTGGATTTTGGTTGCCATACCCGATGAATAAATGTCAGTATTTGACATCAATATGACGTTGGTTTAAGATGTTGGCTCCATGTTGAATTTTGGTCACTTTCTAACAACCTAAAATCAACCAAATATCAACGTCATTTGACATCATTATTGGAGGTCAGAATAACATTGTCCTAGATGCTCACGACCTAAATCCAACCTAATAATAATGTCTTATTACGTTGTGCGTCTGCTCAGTATTGGATAACCAATATTGGGTTATGACAACCCAGCATTTCTAGAGTGTAGTAGTAATAATAATAATAATAATAATAATAATAAACCAAAATGACCAAATATTTTGTATTAAATATGTTCTAAAAACTGTTGGGTTAAAGTGTTTTTTTTTTTTTTTATTAAATAAAGTGTAGTTCATTAGCAAAACCTGAGGTTCTGGAGGACACAAAGCTTGTGAATTCACTCGGCAGAGCCGGTAGATGTTTTCTAGGCAAACAACAACACCTTGAGTTTAGATGCAATTAGCAAATTTAAAAAATGCCGGGTCATTTTAAACCCAACACTGGATCAAATATGGACAAACCCAACAGCTGGGTTGAAAAAGTCATTTAAATGTATTCATTTTCCTTCGGCTTAGTCACTTATTTATCAGGGGCCTCCACAGTGGAATGAACCGCCAATTATTTCAACATATGTTTTATGCAGAGGATACCCCTCCAGCTGCAACCCAGTACTGGGAAACACCCACACACACTACATCCAATTTAGTTAATCAATTGCCCTATAGCGCATGTGTTTGGGCTGTGGGGGAAACCAGAGCACCCGGAGGACACATGCAAACTGGAACTAATTGTTGGGTCCATATTTAACCCAACATGTTTTCAATGCAGAATTAGCTTCATCTTTAAGAACTCTTTAATCTGCTCAGCGTCAATCTTCATTTGTGCGTCTCTTCTAGCTGTAAAATGATCATCGTGTTCATATTCATCACTGCTGCAACTGTTTAGTAGTTAAAATGAGATGTGCTTGACAAAAGCAACAGCAGCATCTCCTGAGACCGAGAGTGTGGTTTTAGTCAAATCTCACACACACACAAGACTAAACTCAACAACTCGCGCAGTTTCCAGACGGCTCATGTCTTCACTCTGACTGGAGGTAAGAGCTCATTCTTGTCAATTACTGTCTCTCATTTTACAAGAAACTAGCCGGAGTTTAAATATTAAGATGTTTATAATATGGAGATTATTCAGGACATGTACGAGCTGTTTTAAATTATTAATACAGATCTTTGTGTTGCTCATGTTCGGCTTACAGTGTAAAGCAGAATGTGCTTATAAAAATCTATATAATTTAAATCATCACACTCAATATTTTCTGTTCTTCATTCAGTGTCCGTCAACTAAATCAAAGGATAAATAAATTATATAAAAACAAATTATTACAATATATTCTAAAACATTATAAATAAAACTTTATTTGTATATTTCAGTATTCGTTTTTGGTGTTTGGGTATTTTTTTTTTAAATTTAATATTTTTTATATTGTTATATCAGCTTTTGGTTTAGTAATAATATACTACTATTTTTCCCCCAATTCTGTTTAACAGAGATCAGATATTTCTGCAACACATTTCTCAACATAAGTTTTAGTAACTCATCTCTAATAACTGATTTATGATGACAGATAATAGATTTTCTTCATGACACTTCTACACAGCATCAAGTGACATTTAAAGGCTTCACTAGGTTAATTAGGTTAACTAGGCAGGTTAGGATAATTAGGTAAGTTATTGTATAATGATGGTTTGTTCTGTAGACTATCAGGAAAATAATAGCTTAAAGAGGCTAATAATTTTGTCCTGAAAATGGTGTTTAAAAAATTAAAAACTGCTTTCACTCTAGGCGAAATAAAACAAATCAGACTTTCTCCAGAAAAAAAATATTATCAGACATACTGTGAACATTTCCTGAATCTGTTTAACATCATTTGGGAAATATTTTTTTAAAAATAAAATAAAATCAAGTCAAGTCAACTTTATTGTCAATCAAACCATGCAACAGTACATGACACAGCAGACTGAAATTGCGTTTCTCCCATACTCCAATGTGCAATTTAAAAACAAAAATATGACACACACTAGACATAAACTAAACATTTAACTAATATAGTACAAGATAAATTAAATAAATAGACAATAATAAACTGTGAACAATTACCATATATCCTATTGTTCCAGAATATGACCAAGTTGAGGTATTTATTGTAGTGCAATTAGGTGCAGTATGGCAAAAGTGCAAAGTAGCAGCTTAGAGGTAAGTGATATATACAAGCTCTTAAGTGGCCGTTTAAAATGTGTTGAACGTTTTATATTTTGTTACAGACACACAGAGTCATCCTGCAACTGTTTTGCAGCATATGAAATGTCCCAAACACTATTTTAACCGTCCAAAATGGTAATTAAAAAAAAAAAAGTAATTGTTTTTACTCTCTGATAGTCAAAACATTTTCAAAAATATTTGTTACATATGCATTCAAAAAACAGCAAGGAAAAAGTGTTTTATGTAAATTGGGACCACAAGTTCACATATATGGACATTTTTGCTAAAAGTACATCACATCCAAAGATGATACTTTATTCTAAATAGGTCACAATAAGGACAAATAGCAAAGAGAAATAAAAAAAATGCATGCATGCATATATATATATATATACACACATATACATACATACATATATATATATATATATATATATATATATACATATATACACACAC